GAATGTTACTATCCGAGTCAAGAAGGATCATCTGAGTCAAAGGAGATCATCTGATATTGTAGAGAAGATAAAAAGCACATGAAATAAGTCGGCGAAGCGTACGAGTCTGTGAACATGCTAAACGATAAAGGAACAACTCAACCAGGAGTTGTGCTTTACCCACAAAAGGGTAAAGTACCATGTGTGTCTCGTCTACTCCATGAGTGTCTTGCCTATGGGAGGTTATAGAGATCTTTGTAAGCTTTCCAATGCATCTTGGATCACCTTATTCTGAGATCGGATGAGGAAGTTAGAGCCAAGATACCCGAGATAACACAAACTGTCTCGGAAGTGCGAGATAGTCATAACTGTCTTGGAATGCGAGACAGTCATGACTGTCTCGCACAAAATCTAAAGAAGGTCAAAAGATAAAAGTTGTAGATCTCTTCATCATCTTTCCAATGCATCTTGGATCATCTCATTCCAAGATCGGACGAGGGAGTTAGAGCCAAAATACCCGAGACAACACAAACTATCTCGGAAGTGCGAGACAGTCATAACTATCTCGGAATGTGAGATAGTCATGACTGTCTCGCACCAAATCTAAAGAAGGTCAAAAGACAAAAATTGTAGATCTCTTCGTCAGATTTTCAACGCATCTTGGATCATCTCATTCCGATATCGGACGAGGAAGTTAGAGCCAAAATACCCGAGATAGTACAAACTGTCTCGGAAGTGCGAGACACACAACCCTGTCTCGGCCATAGAGTTGGTTACAATACGTTTTTTGACGGTTTTTTGGCTTCATAACTACTTGAGATCAACCATAAACGTGGGGAGATAGTTACAAACTAAAAATAGGCCCACTAACCTCATAAAAAGATGATATTTAAGTAGTGGGACGGCGGTTACAAAAGGGGGAGAGCATTTTTAGAGCAATTCGAAGAAGATCGAGCAAATTGGATCAGATCTGAGCATAGAGAGCAGAGAGAAAACAACAAGAATTGAGTTCCTCGTGTGATTCCTTGAGATTCTGAGCATAGAGAGCAGAGAGAAAACAACAAGAATTGAGTTCCTCGTGTGATTCCTTGAGATTCGAGCTTTGACTTGATCTTAAGAAGAGTGATCGTCTTACTTTGATAAGATATTCACTTCAAATTCCTACTTCGATAAACGAAGGAAGAATCTCTAAACCCCTCACAATCTGTGATTTGGTGATCCACGAGTCAAAGCACTCCTGGCATAGGCAAAGTCCCACAAAACAAGAATCGATAAATGATTTTTGTGTTATTTTCTCGAAAGTTGTAATTTTCTTAATTTTTCATTGTAATTCATTGTAAACGACCGAAGTTCAATAGAATCATCAATGAAAAAAAATTCGACGAAAACAAGACCCACTTATTATGTAAGGCTTTCTTCTGTGCTAGTAGCGGGGCTAACTCCCATGTCTCGTTCGAGTGGAGAAAATTCATCTCTTCCTGCATTGCATGCTCCCACTGTCGAGATTCGCTCACTTGCATAGCCTCCTCATAGCATTCTGATTATTCGCTATCTGTTAAAAGTAGGTAGTCTAGTGATAAGACATACATGGGATTCGGTTTGGCTACTCTGGATGACCTCCTAGGCTCCTCGCCATAGGTATAGTCGGTTCTGTACCTGAAATCTCCTCCGTTCTTTGGTCAGAATTAATTGTATCCCATATCTGGAAGTTCCTCTAAATTCATGTACTCGGATGCGTCCGCATCCATAGTACTGCTCCCACTGCTTTGGCCCGCCTTGGCATTATCCATGTCTTTGTACATCACTTCCTCATTGAATATGATGTCTCAGCTTCTGATGATCTTCATATTCTTCTCATCCCAAAGACGATACCCGAACTCATCAATGTCATACCCAATGAATGTACACTTCGGTGACTTAGCTTCTAGCTTTTCCTTGACATGATCACTGATAAGGACGTATGACGTACAACCAAAGACTCTCAAGTGTGAGAGATTAAACTTCAAACCTCTTCCAGAATCCCAAAGTCCAATAGAACTGATGGCCCGTGATTTATCAAGTATGCTGCTGTATGCACCGCGTCCGCCCAAAAAGTTTTTGGTAGACCTGCGTGTAGACGCATGCTCCTCGCATGCTCTGCCAGCGTTCTGTTCATTCTTTCTGCTATATCGTTCTGTTGCAGCGTCCCTAGAGTAGTCCTCTCTAAACAAATCTCGTTTAGACCACAGAACTTCTTGAACTCCTCCAATTCATATTCTCCATCATTGTCTGATCTCAGACACTTTACTTTTAGATCTGTCTTATTCTCTACCATGGCTTTTCACTTCTTGAAGATGCTGAATACCTATGACTTGTGCTTCATGAAGTATACACACATCTTCATCGAGTGATCGTCGATAAAGGTGACGTAGTACGTTGAACCGTCAAGAGAAGACACACTAGCTGGACCACATACATCTGTATGAATAAGCTCTAGCTTGTGAGCTTTAGATGGCCTTCCACCCTTCAGAAAACTACTTCTCTTCTACTTCCCGAAGATGCAGTCTTCGCAAACATCGATTTTCACCGAATCAATGCCTGATAATTTCCTTCTGAGTGTAGAATCTTTATACCATTCTCATTCATGTGTCACAGCCTATTATGCTACAGATCTGCACTCTCATTTCCTGTAGTAATCGCGAGAGTGTCACTCACGTGTGAAGTTAGATAGAGGATACTGATCTTGTTGCCACGGGTAACCATCATTGTACTGTTGGAGATTTTTTACGAATCTCCGGTAAATGTTGTAACATAGCCTTCTGCTCCAAGCTGACCAACCGAAATAAGATTCCTCTTCAACTTCGGTACGTGTCTGACATTCTTTAGAGACCACTTGGAACCCTTTAACTGTATTTGCACGTCGACTCTTCCAATGACACTACAGGATTCATTATCCCCCAAGTATACTTTTCCAAAGTCTCATGCTACATAGTTCTTAAATAGCCTTCTATTAGCAGTGGCGTGGAAAGAGGCTCCCGAATAAATAACCCATGAGTCGGAATCGTTATCCATAGCGAGAATCAATGCATCTTGCACAATATGAGCCTCCTGCTCATTTTTATCCTTCTTCGGTACTTTACAGGTTGAAGACATATTACCCTCCTTACCGTAGTTCCAACATTTTCCTTTGATAGGTCCCACCTTCAAGTTCGACCTTTTCTTCTTCGACTTCGATCGATTCCTGTTTTAGATCCCCCTATTATGGCTTCTGCCTCTCTGCTCGAGACTTAGGGCTAAACTTGAATCTTCTAATTTATTCAATTTTCTTCTAACCTCCTCGGATAGAATCATATCTACCACATCGTTCAGCTTCAACTTCTCCTTCCCTACAGAGTTGCTGATTATGGTCACGTAACCTGCCCAACTATCCGGCAACTACGATAGTATCAGTAGGGCATGCACTTCGTCATCAAACATGATGTCGACTGAGACGAGTTGATCAACAATTGTGTTGAACTCGCTGAGATGCATCGTGAATGAATATCCTTCTGCCATCTTGAGGTTGAATAGCGTTTTGACGAGATGTACCTTATTTGTAGCTGACATCGTTGCGAACACTTCCATAAGCCCCACAGTCGTCTTCTTCTTTAATATATTATGTACTACAGGTTTTGCGAGGCAAAATCGGACCTGCCCCAAGGCTTTTCGATCTAATATTTCCCAGTCCTCGTCAGATTCTTCTTTCTTTTGTCCTTTTGCTTTACCCATCAGCGGATGGTAAAGATCTTTCTGGTACAGATAGTCTTCCATCTGTAACTTTCAGTAGGTGAAGTCTGACCCGTCAAACTTCTCAATTTTAGATTTGCCTTCTTCTGCCATTTCTTATACACAGATCTGAACATGGGCTCTGATACCAGTTGTTAGGAAATATCAGATACGTTCTGATACCCATTGTTGGGGATTCAAACTACCAAACGTTGGTACAACTGCTCCTTAGATCCTCAACCACCTGTCAAATATGAACCCTCTGCGAAATTTGCCCTATCGGATCTTATGTTAAGCAATGGAAAAAAAAATTACAGCAAATTAAAATAATTGCAAGAAAGGAGAACACCGAGTTTAAATGAGGTTCGGCAACTTGCCTACGTCCTCGGAAGCCACACAAATAATTTCATTTATATTGAAGAAGATTACAAAGCTTGTAAAAGAGTAGATCTCAACTTGAGATCTTTCAAAAGAAGCAAACAGAAAAACTATATGTTGCTCTTACAAAGACATGAGATTTTACAACAGTAAAATCTCCTCTCTCCCAAATGTCGCTACAGGAATTAATCCTCTCCAATAACTGAGATTTTTAACTTGAAAATCTCGTGCTCAGCCGTCGCCAAGAAGTCGCTGAGAAGAAAAAATCGGAGAGAGAGAGAGAGAGAGAGCACCTTTTCTCTCGTGCTTAAATAGGGAAACCCTAGGGCCAAAGCAAATGGGATCATACTGGATCCAACTCAGGCGCAGGCGAAAGGGGGAAAAAGATCGAGCTCGCCCTTCGCTCGCGACCTCGTCTGCACTTGGAGTTCGAGCCCGCCTGCATCAAAGCAACATCGAGCTCGCCTGTATCGACCCATAGCAATCTGCCTGCAAGAGGACCGCTCGAACTCGCCTGTCGAAACCCCAAACTTGCCTGTAGCCCTTCGCGAGCTCGCCTGCTTGCTCCAACTTCGCTTGTAGGTCACCGACCGATCTCGCATGAAGTCGCCAAGGACCTCGCCTGCAACTAGCAATGTCAACTTCGAGCTCGCCTTCGCTGTTCGACCTCGTCGGAGCTCGCCGTCGGCCTCAAGTTCGCCGCTGACAGTTATGGATCTACACCCATTTCCAACAGTTTCCAAGTCTAGAGACTCAACCACCACCCTTTTCATCTCTGCCCTAAAAATTCTTCAAAAGAGACATTTCATATAGATTTATTATTGCCCTCTCATTGCTAATTCTCTCTTCTCTCTTCATAGCGTTGCATGATTTATTAATCTGGCTGGCTCTTTGTTCAGGCATAGACATATTGCCCGAACCACGTAAAAATTCTGAGGAGAGATAACATGAAAAGGAAATGGCAGGCGATGATGAATCCCAAATCTCAGCTTGAAGCTCCACGTGGATGTTCGTCTCAAAAAAGTTCTCTTCGCAGAGGCTGATAAAGACTTCATTGGTTTCCTGTTCGGCCTCCTCGTTTTCTACCAGTAGGCTCAGTCATCAAACTGATCTCTCGTAAATCAATGACCAGCTGCATCGCCAAGATTTATCAGAGCATCGAGAAGTTACGCGAGACCTATCTGCAGCCAAACATGATCAAAGAGTCTCTTCTTCAACCCGAGAGTTTGTCTGCTGATGCAATGAGCCCCCTTTTGTTGGGCGATGCAACTGTTGCTGCCTCTCTAACTATCATATCAATGTGGAATTTACAATGATACAGTTAGAAATATAGGATGTCCTAGTTTTGGGATTGTGATGAAGAATGGGGTCTAAGTTTATAACGCCAACTGTTTCTTCTTACGCTGTAACTGCTGCTGCTTCTGCTTCAGCTGAAGGTGGGGGTTATGTTAAGGGAGTAGTTACTTATATGGTGAAGTTACACTAATGTCTGCGATAACGAGCATATGTTTGATTAATGGAGTGAAGAGGGATGATGTTGAATTGGAGGAGAAGTTGGTTTAGTATGGAATTAAAAGATAAGTTGATAGTTTGTCTTTATATATTTTAATGTCAGATTTGATTAATCATTTGATGTTTTTATTTTATTTTTATTTTATTTTATTTCATTTCCCTTCAGGGTATTGCTCCGATGAGAGCTCCCCTTGGCTCAAATACTGCTCTTACTGATGTATACTGTGGAAATCCAAGCCCTTCTGCTTAAGCTATGTTATTGTTTGACTTGTTGATGTTCTATCTTTAGTTTAGCATATGAGGTCTGTTTTCTGACTTTCCTTTGTTAGATTCATGAATGCTGCTCTGATCATTTTGTTTCAAAATCTAAGTGAATAAGATGGACTTTCTGTTTTCTGAATTTGATCAATTGCGTTAAAACTATTTTATGATGAACAATCAAATTGTTGATCATATTCCTTTCTGGTTACTTACTATTATAAAACAAAGGAAATTGGGATTTCTTATGTCTCAGGTATCAGTTAGGTTAATGCTCAGAAAGGAGATATGGAAGACAAAAGCAAAAGTTGACAATATTATTCACACCATAGTTCTTTTCTGAGAAAAGTAGTGAACTGCCAATAGATCTTATGAGAATCTGATTTTATAAATGCATGAATTTCATTTTGGTTTCTAAAATTCAATGGCTGAACCTTCAACTCATCAGGTTTTGTGCTTCATACTAAGAACTGTAGTATGTATGCTTGATAACTGTTGCAAATTTAAGTTGCCTTTAGCTAGAAAAAAGAGGATGATACTCGTCATAAGAACTTCGCAAACAAGCTTGGTCATCAAACTTTATTACCTCATACCTGATTGCTTCACATGCGATGCCTATTTTCAAAAAATTTACCTTAAAATGACCTCACAGTAAGAAGAATGTCTTATTTGAAAAATTCGGTGCCTTGAATTTTAATTTCAAGAAATTATCAACTTCAAGCCTTTCTCATATTTTGATGAGCATCACCTCAAGTAATTAAAATACCTCATCAATTGAAAACTCATGGGGGGGAATCCAAATCCAAACAGGGTCAAAAGCCTGAGTACAGCTGAAAACATAAAATTCTAAGGACCTGCACTATAAACTTAAGCTGACGGTGCCTTTTTTGGTGCCTTTGGAGCAAAGACATTGTTCAGTGCATTGTGAGATATTAGACATGCTTTCAACAAGTTTAAAGCCTGCAGCATAGAAAATAATTCAATAAATTTCAATTAGCAACATGAATATTTATATATTTACCAAAAAGTCCCAACAATCACAACACACGCGAGCACATGCAGACAGACATGCACACAAGCATGCACAAGCGTAGACATAATAACTTGTTTTTGTAGTTTCCATCTATCATTCATTAATTTCTCTATAGGCTATTGAGAAGATTTTTCCTAATTCAGAAAAGAACAGGAACCGAGGACAGCAAAGAAGGTAACCTTTTGCTTATTTGTTTTTTTGGTGAAAAACAAGGCAGGTCATTTTGCTAAAAAGCAGATGCATAAACATAAAAAGTAAACATTTGCCTGCTTTTTAGCTATAAGAGTGCATGGCTACCGCAACAGATAATTCATCAGATCATATGGAAGGAAAAACCTTCGTGTTATTATAATGTGACGTTTCGCTGGTTTGTCTAATTTTCCCCTGAATTACTCATGTGGAGACTGATATAAGCAATTAAGCAGGTTAACCTATTTTTCTTGATTTCGGAGATGCTCTACACGTATTAAACGAAATAGAAGACTAGAAGGATAACCAAAACAGAATTACCTCTGCTTCTCCAATTGAAACCTCTTTGTCCACCAAAAGTCCAACGGGCGCTTTCAATTCCTTAATCACATCAACTCCGTATACTGGAGAAAACGGAACAACAACCATCTCATGAGTCACCATGAACTTTACCGATGCCTTTGCATAACCTCCTCCTTGATCTTTCCCTGGCTTCATCAGCTTCGGATTTATTTCAGTTAATTCCAAAACATTTGCTTCATGCTTGCATTTGTTAAGCTGACTACCATTCCAGCAAGTTACACATTCCTTCACAGTATACTTAAGGGAATTCTGTTCTTCGATCCTCATTATCTGATTGCTACAAGTAAAGTGAGGATAAAGCATTGGAGCCAATAACATGTTTTGGGTCTCTTGATGTTCGATTCGATCATTTCCACCAACGCCCATGATTTCTGATCATTTTGTTTCAAAATCTAAGTGAATAAGATGGACTCTGTTTTCTGAATTTGATCAATTGCGTTAAAACTATTTTATGATGAACAATCAAATTGTTGGTCATATTCCTTTCTGGTTACTTACTATTAAAAAACAAAGGAAATTGGGATTTCTTATGTCTCAGGTATCAGTTAGGTTAATGCTCAGAAAGAAAATATGGAAGACAAAAGCAAAAGTTGACAATATTATTCACACCATAGTTCTTTTCTGAGAAAAGTAGTGAACTGCCAATAGATCTTATGAGAATCTGATTTTATAAATGCATGAATTTCATTTTGGTTTCTAAAATTCAATGGCTGAACCTTCAACTCATCAGGTTTTGTGCTTCATACTAAGAACTGTAGTATCTATGCTTGATAACTGTTGCAAATTTAAGTTGCCTTGGCTAGAAAAAAGAGGATGATACTAGTCATAAGAACTTCGCAAACAAGCTCAGTCATCAAACTTTATTATCTCATACCTGAATACCTGATTGCTTCACATGCGATGCCTATTTTCAAAAAAAAAATTACCTTAAAATGACCTCACAATAAGAAGAATGTCTTATTTGAAAATTTCGGTGCCTTGAATTTTAATTTCAAAAACTTCTCAGCTTCAAGCCTTTCTCATATTTTGATGAGCATCGCCTCAAGTAATTAAAATACCTCATCAATTGAAAACTCATGGGGGGGAATCCAAATCCAAACAGAGTCAAAAGCCTGAGTACAGCTGAAAACATAAAATTCTAAGGACCTGCACTATAAACTTAAGCTGACGGTGCCTTTTTTGGCGCCTTTGGAGCAAAGACATTGTTCAGTGCATTGCGAGATATCAGACATGCTTTCAACAAGTTTAAAGCCTGCAGAGAAGAAAATAATTCAATAAATTTCAATTAGCAACATGAATATTTATATATTTACCAAAAAGTCCCAACAATCACAACACACGCGAGCACATGCAGACAGACATGCACACAAGCATGCACAAGCGTAGACATAATAACTTGTTTTTGTAGTTTCCATCTATCATTCATTAATTTCTCTATAGGCTATTGAGAAGATTTTTCCTAATTCAGAAAAGAACAGGAACCGAGGACAGCAAAGAAGGTAACCTTTTGCTTATTTGTTTTTTTGGTGAAAAACAAGGCAGGTCATTTTGCTAAAAAGCAGATGCATAAACATAAAAAGTAAACATTTGCCTGCTTTTTAGCTATAAGAGTGCATGGCTACCGCAACAGATAATTCATCAGATCATATGGAAGGAAAAACCTTCGTGTTATTATAATGTGACGTTTCGCTGGTTTGTCTAATTTTCCCCTGAATTACTCATGTGGAGACTGATATAAGCAATTAAGCAGGTTAACCTATTTTTCTTGATTTCGGAGATGCTCTACACGTATTAAACGAAATAGAAGACTAGAAGGATAACCAAAACAGAATTACCTCTGCTTCTCCAATTGAAACCTCTTTGTCCACCAAAAGTCCAACGGGCGCTTTCAATTCCTTAATCACATCAACTCCGTATACTGGAGAAAACGGAACAACAACCATCTCATGAGTCACCATGAACTTTACCGATGCCTTTGCATAACCTCCTCCTTGATCTTTCCCTGGCTTCATCAGCTTCGGATTTATTTCAGTTAATTCCAAAACATTTGCTTCATGCTTGCATTTGTTAAGCTGACTACCATTCCAGCAAGTTACACATTCCTTCACAGTATACTTAAGGGAATTCTGTTCTTCGATCCTCATTATCTGATTGCTACAAGTAAAGTGAGGATAAAGCATTGGAGCCAATAACATGTTTTGGGTCTCTTGATGTTCGATTCGATCATTTCCACCAACGCCCATGATTTCTGATCATTTTGTTTCAAAATCTAAGTGAATAAGATGGACTCTGTTTTCTGAATTTGATCAATTGCGTTAAAACTATTTTATGATGAACAATCAAATTGTTGGTCATATTCCTTTCTGGTTACTTACTATTAAAAAACAAAGGAAATTGGGATTTCTTATGTCTCAGGTATCAGTTAGGTTAATGCTCAGAAAGAAAATATGGAAGACAAAAGCAAAAGTTGACAATATTATTCACACCATAGTTCTTTTCTGAGAAAAGTAGTGAACTGCCAATAGATCTTATGAGAATCTGATTTTATAAATGCATGAATTTCATTTTGGTTTCTAAAATTCAATGGCTGAACCTTCAACTCATCAGGTTTTGTGCTTCATACTAAGAACTGTAGTATCTATGCTTGATAACTGTTGCAAATTTAAGTTGCCTTGGCTAGAAAAAAGAGGATGATACTAGTCATAAGAACTTCGCAAACAAGCTCAGTCATCAAACTTTATTATCTCATACCTGAATACCTGATTGCTTCACATGCGATGCCTATTTTCAAAAAAAAAATTACCTTAAAATGACCTCACAATAAGAAGAATGTCTTATTTGAAAATTTCGGTGCCTTGAATTTTAATTTCAAAAACTTCTCAGCTTCAAGCCTTTCTCATATTTTGATGAGCATCGCCTCAAGTAATTAAAATACCTCATCAATTGAAAACTCATGGGGGGGAATCCAAATCCAAACAGAGTCAAAAGCCTGAGTACAGCTGAAAACATAAAATTCTAAGGACCTGCACTATAAACTTAAGCTGACGGTGCCTTTTTTGGCGCCTTTGGAGCAAAGACATTGTTCAGTGCATTGCGAGATATCAGACATGCTTTCAACAAGTTTAAAGCCTGCAGAGAAGAAAATAATTCAATAAATTTCAATTAGCAACATGAATATTTATATATTTACCATAAAGTCCCAACAATCACAACGCACACGAGCACATGCAGACAGACAGGCACACAAACAAGCACAAGCGTAGACATAATAACTTGTTTATGTAGTTTCCATCTATCATTCATTAATTTCTCTATAGGCTATTGAGAATATTTTTCCTAATTCAGAAAAGAACAGGAACAGAGGACAGCAAAGAAGGTAACCTTTTGCTTATTTGTTTTTTTGGTGAAAAACAAGGCAGGTCATTTTGCTAAAAAGCAGATGCATAAACATAAAAAGTAAACATTTGCCTGCTTTTTAGCTATAAGAATGCATGGATACTGCGACAGATCATTCATCAGATTATATGGAAGGAAAAACCTTCGTGTTATTATAATGTTACCTTTCGCTGGTTTGTCTAATTTTCCCCTGAATTACTCATGTGGAGACTGAAATAAGCAATTAAGCAGGTTAACCTATTTTTCTTGATTTCGGAGATGCTCTACACGTATTAAACGAAATAAAAGACTAGAAGGATAACCAAAACAGAATTACCTCTGCTTCTCCAATTGAAACCTCTTTGTCCACCAAAAGTCCAACGGGCGCTTTCAATTCCTTAATCACATCAACTCCATAGACTGGAGAAAACGGAACAACAACCATCTCATGAGTCACCATGAACTTTACCGATGCCTTTGCATAACCTCCTCCCTGATCTTTCCCTGGCTTCCTCAGCTTCGGATTTATTTCAGTTAATTCCAAAACATTTGCTTCATGCTTGCATTTGTTCAGCTGATTACCATTCCAGCAAGTTTCACATTTCTTCACAGTATACTTAAGGGAATTCTGTTCTTCAATCCTCATTATCTGATTGCTACAAGTAAAGTGAGGATAAAGCATTGGAGCCAATAACATGTTTTGGGTCTCTTGATGTTCGATTCGATCATTTCCACCAACGCCCATGATTTCTACACTCTCATACAAGTTATCAATGCATCGGATTAGCGAATGCTTGTTCAAGAGCTTCACTATGGATCCTAAAGGAAAAGTGAGGAAACTGAAGAGGATATCGACCAAGTCTTGGCCTGCTTCGGCGTAGATAATCTCATGGGTTACCCTGTTTTGGAGAAGTTTTATGCTTATCGTCTTGGTTTGATCAGTAGACTCACTTTCATCCCCCAGGTTGATTTGGGTTGCATCTGAAACCTTAGCCTCTTGTTTGTCTCTACTGAATAAAGTTGGTTCTCTCAGGAAAACATCTGAAAGTGGAGTCTTGGACTGAAATGACCTCTTCAGTAATGCCAATACCTGTAAACTCAGACAAACGTATCTCTAACATGATTTCTAAGAACCTTTAATCAATTATAAGTGAATAGGATATTGATATTAGACCTTCAAAATTTTGAAATAGCTACTTAGTTTCCAAAAGCTATGCATTACTCCGAATTAGTCGCTCCGTTAGCCTCTCGCTCAATTGATTATCCTAGCTGGATTAGTGATTAATCAAAGTAGAAGACTACCTACATATCCGCGAAACTTCTTCCAAAATCTCTCTCATTTCATTTTCAGCTGCAGTTTGAAGAAGTTATAAATTTTGGGTTTGGGTTTGCTTTGGTTTTTGTTTTGGGTTTGGGTTTGGGTTTGGAATCAGGTATGAGTTCGAATGGTTTAACTTTGAAAGTTAAAAGTATAATGGGAAGATAATGTTGAACTGTTAAGATTAATGGTATAATGTGCACATTGCTAAATAGCAATTTCAAATTTTAAGCGATTACTATCAAAATAGTAAAGATTTCGGTTGACATGATCTAAGAAATTTCACTCAGAAATAAACACATCTAGGAAATCCCTGAATAAAAATGGCTAATTGCACATTTTCCCCTGTAGTGCCCTTGTTTTGAACTTGCTGCCCCAATCTTTTTATTCTCGCAGATAGACCCAGTTTTTTTTTTTTTTTTTTTTTCTCGTTTTTTTTTTTTTTTTTTTTGACTCTTTAGCCTTAGATAGACTCAAAATTTCACCCCATGGTAGTATCCGCCAGAAAAAAAGAAGGAAAAAAATAAAGAACCAAGGTATCTCTCTGCAACAATGAAACTATTACCTCAAGACAACGATACTAACAGGGTCTACGTACAATTAATCCCAAATAAAATTCTAATTTTTTTCTTACCTCGTCTCTGCAAACGTCGACGACCCGTTTCTCGAGATTATCTGCGTCTTTGATCTCCAGCTTTTGAAGCAGAGAGAGGGTAGAATCAATGCTAGCGGTGGACACATGAAGATCATCACTGATAATATATTTGCCTTCTCCTTTGAGAAACACATCACCCTTCTGTTTCAAATAACACTGAAGCAACTTATCCATCAATTTTCCACAAGAACACCTCGCTCCACTTACCGAACTATAATGTCTATAATTTTTAGCGCAATCAAAACTTTGGCACGTATAAATACGCCAAGGCTTCGAGTCGTCGACATTGATGAGCAAATCTTCACATAGACTTTCTGCTGAGCATCTGGGCTGAAGGAGCATTGACTTGCAGGCTTCAGTCTCGAGGTTCTTCGTTTCGAGGGTTTCAACGCTTTCGTATAACTTGTCCAAGGATCCGAGTGAGGACTGTTTGTTGAGGACTCGGATGATGGTGCCCGTCGGCAGTGTTAAGAAGCCGAAGAGGATGTCGACGAAATCCTTATCGGATTCAGCGAACACGACACGATTCTTTTCCTTGTCGATGAGGAGTTTGATGGTGATGGTGGCCATGGTGAGAATATGTTGGGAGGCACTTCACAAAATTTTGTCAGGCTCTGAGATGTGTTGTACGAGGAGGGATCAATATATGGAGAGGATTACATATCGATCGGAGGAGATTAGTATCAAATCACGTAGAAAGAGATAACAGAACGTGACTTCTTAGGTGCGGAGAATTCAAGGGAGTTGTCTTTGTGAATCGTAACTGATTATAACAGACTAATATGGCGATAATTCGTTTTCCAGTGTAGAAATACTTCATAAAATCACTCGCAAGTCATGTACAGTAAAAAAAGACAACAGCTACGTACTCAAAATACATGCACACATTTCTTGATTCATTTGCATAAATGATTTGGAGGGGGGGGAAACACTAGAAAGATATAACCGAAGCGTATGTAGAATTCATAATTGAAGAAGCATTTAAGCCAAGAATTGTAGGTTTCCGTTGAGCTAACACCACAGCACAGGGGAACAAAATCCGAGAAAACAAACATTTTGCAATTTAGTAAGTATATCACACAATAAATTAAGCATTGATCACAATTTTCAAGACACCTAAAATATGTACTTCCATCCAGCTTCTGTAGACATATCCATAATTTTAATGAAAACAGAATAATACTGGTTACTCCACTCAAGCATATGCAGGCTATTTTACATACAAATTTTAGAGAAATAGAGAGAAGTAGCAGATACTTGATATAAGCATACACAGGTCATTTTACTGTGACCTAGTTAAGCTAGAAACCGTCAATCTTTCTAGGCAATCGCCCACACCAATTTTGTTCAAGTAGTGTCAGTGTATAAGGTGAGAAGACATCGCTCAGCACCGTGTTTGAGATGAGACAAGCTTTCAACAGATTCAAAGCCTGCAAGCATTAAGATGAATATTTCAATATGCAAATTAAATCAATCAAACTTTTCAATAACATGTACAGCTTTTAGTCAGTTTAAGCAATGGATAAACTGCAGAATCTTTCTCGAAACATGTTTGTAAAATGAATCACAAACAGGAATTGGGACCCGTGATTGTCGACATTTTCGCTGAAACCTATGGGGGGGAAAGGGATTAAGACGTAAAAGAAAATGAACATGAACTAGCCCAGAACTAAAAGCTCAATTGGAATTAACCAAGCTCTCTGTCACTATCAATTAGTTGGTTTGTGAAAATAACAACTCTATGAACATTTTAGGAGTTCGAAGTCTGATCAGTCCTTGTCTAAATAACCCCTATGTTTTTATATTTTTGCGTATCAGCCTTCAGCTTTTCACTCCTTTCTTGAACCATGACCGTGAAACCTTAAACAGGGCAGGGGATATTGTCGTCATATTCTAATGTTTCCATGGACGGAAACTCTCCTCTATCCCTCCAAATTCCCTATGTTTTACTTCAATTGACAATTGTACCCTCGTCAGACCCGAGAAGCACACATGTCCTCTAATGTTCACGGCCTTAGTTGCACCATCAGCCATAACCGTAGAAGTCTTGTAGAGCATTTTGCTAAATAACAAACCTATTTAGATGACACATAAAAGGATGATGTCTATAATAATGCTAGCTAATAATTATTGTAATTGATTTTTACCTCTGTTTCTCCAAGGCTGGCCTCTGCCTCCTCTAAACTGCTGATAGGAACCATCAACTTTTTGATGATGTGAAAGCCAGAAATGGGCGATAAAGGTGTCACCTTCATTTCATCGGTCACCATGAACTTCATCATCCCCCTAGCATAGCCTTCTCCATTTCCCAAACTTGAGTTATCCTGCTTCGGGTTTATTTCATCATATATTTGGCCCATACCATGAACACATTGCCCACGGATTTTAGTTTTGCATGCGCAGGTTGTAATCTTTTGTGGAAAAACTTCCTCAATACTAAGTAAATTGTGTTGGCAGCCAAAATGGGGAGGGAGCATAGGAGCCAAGAGCATGTCCCTCAACTCCTCAGACTTCATGTAGCCAAAATCTTTGCTTAAAAGCTCGACACTTTTGTATAGATTGTCAATGCTCCCCATCGAAGAATTCTTTTCCAAGAGTTTTACTACAGCTCCAAGCGGGAAGGTAAGGAAGCTGAATAATAGGTCAGCAAAGTCGTCTCCTGCTTCTGCATAAACCACCTTGTCACTATCGGCATCTAGGTAGAGCTTCACATGTATCCTTTTGGAATCAGTGGCTATCTTTTTTTGCTTGCCTCTAGATTGTGTTATGTCTGCTACCATTAATTTCTCTTCCACAACAACCCCGTCTGGCTCTTGCAGGAAGACATCTGTCAGTGGCATCTTAGAGACCAGTGATCTCTTGAGCAAGGTCGAGATCTGTAATAAGTCAAGAAAGATAATTTATCATGATAAATTCTGGAAGATTTACGCAAGGCAATTAAACATTCTGAAAATTTGAACACCTAAATGGCCCTTGATATGACTGGAGAAAACCTTTGACTCAAAAGAACAAACCACAATGTTGGTTGTAGCTTGGACCTCAGATTTATGTCCTTCAATGCTAAGACTCTTTTTATGCAGGATTAGCCAACCACCTTAGAAGTCTACCCTTAAAAGCATAATAATGCTAAAGACTTTTTACTTATAACACTACATCATCTATAGCAACTATCTGGCTGTTATACATGGCACCATCCTATGGCCATGAATGAACTCAATTTTGGTCTCACCCAATGTTGTGGTTAACTACACATGAACTATCAATGAGATATAAAATACAAAGATAATCATGTTTTTAATCTTGGCACAACAACAACAACAAAGCCTTTATCCCAAATATTTGGGATCGGCTACATGAATCTTCTTCTCCTATTCAGTTCTGTTCAGTTCAGGGCTATGTCCACAAAGTTAAGCATTATCATCTCTTTAGTCATGGCACACAAGGTTGTGAATTAGTGTTCATTTTAACTGCCAAACAACAGAGGCTTTCCATATTTAGATTCTATCAAAAGATAAAAATAATGGGATATAAATCAAAAATACAACTCAAGCAACCCTAATACTCAACATGAGGGAAGACCTCTAGGACCCTTTGATTCCATGTTGTCACTTCCTACGAAGTGTTGGGCATCAAATTTCCTGCTTTGTCATGTCATCACATATTTACAATTTTTTAATTTGTTACGAATTGGTGTTATGTCCCCACAACTTAGATGCCGGTTTTCCAGA